GGTCCATTTGGCCAAGGCACCTGGCGTTCACCTCCTCCCTGGGGCTCATTTCTTCTTCAGTGAGAAAGGGGAGTCGCACTGGATGGTTCTCCGTGCTGAGAACTATAATCTGTAGCGAGAACTCGTTTGCTGAATGGAGTGTTAAATCCCTCATTCCAACTCCCCACAGTAAAAATTGTGTTTGTCACTTGTTTGTACTTATCTGCGATTTGGCTGGGTTGAGGAATAAATCTAGCAGCATCAAATGCATTTTGGTATCTCATTGGCTTTCATGTTAATAGGACAGCAAGCACTCCAAGATACAGTGTAAGCGAAAGACTGGTAGGTAGGTCCTGCAGGTAGGGGCATGTTCAGGAAACATGCTGTAGTGCAGTTCGGGTATTTTATGGTTTATACCAAGGAAAGCAGTAGCAGGTAATGCCAGGATAAGCTGGATTCTTGGCTGGGGTAATGAGTGTAACAGGGCTTGGATGGATTTAACACCCCTTTCCCACCTTCCCAAAACACACACGCAACCAGAACACGATTTTGCATCATAAATTTTATTCCCGATGCGGGACAGATTCCTTCCATCCCCAAAATGAATCACGTGCTACCCTGGAGAGATCTGGGAGATTCTCCCACCATCACCAGAGGAGAAGCGAAAAAGGCAAGAGATGGGGACTGGGAAAGCTTCGAAGTTCCCCAGCCTACTTTTCCTCCCCTTCTTAACAGAGGACAGCAGCTGCCCACTATTATTCCTCTCATCCACTTATCCTTTAAAAAAAAAGCCTTCACTATGAAAAACAAAAACAAAACCAACACCTCAAGTAAGGCGAGGGAGGTATCCTGAGCTGGGACATGAGGTTAAGGGTCATCAATGGAAGAAGAGGGAGGGAGAAGGAATCATCACTGTTTCTGCTGCAGGGCCTCCTTCCTTGCTGCATCCTGTAGCAACTGTGTGTCCACCTCATCTGCTGGCAACTGCACATAGCGAACCACTGAGCCCCTGATGAAGCAGTTCTTCACTGATAACTAGACAGAGATAGACAAATGTGAAAACATCCTGAAAAATACCCTCTATCCACCCAAGGGCCTCCTGCTTTTAGAGGTGTTTCCTCTTCTGTACCACCCACAACTCACCATGTGAGGGTATTTCTCAGGGTCAGTGACACTGATGTCAGTCAGTTTGATGTTGAGATACTAAGAAAAGAAGATGAACATCATTAGTATTAGAGACAAGATGCAAGTACCCTGCCTTTTTAAGCCCTCTCCTCTCCTTCCCCAAGACCAGATTCAGGGCCCTTGCTATAGCTCACCTGATCCACAGAATGGAGGGTTCCACAGATGCTGTCAGGGGCAGAGAGGGAAAAACCAAGTTAGTTTATACCAAAGTCAATGTAGAGATGACTTCAGAGCAGAGGTAAGAACATGGTTGGGGTAAGTACAGGATATGAGGAAACGAGAAATGGTAGAACCCAAAGGGGTCATGCCTGAGCTCTGGAGTGGAAAAGAAAGTGCTTCCAGAGCAGTGTGTTTAGACCTCACAGCTCCTCTCCCTAAACCAACTCACTCTTAGTAGCTACCATTAAACAATGGTTATGTGCTAGACCTGTATTCTGCATAGTGTTTGTAATCTTTACAGCCACTTCATAAGGTAGCTATTAACCATCCACAGGCTCAGGAAGTTTGTATAATTTGCACAAGTTTAGAACAAATAAACAGGGACTCTAAGCCTTTCTCTCAGAACCATCAGGTATTTTCAAGTATTTATTGCTTTGGAACCAGAGTCCCATATGTAAAGTAGATAAATTGCTAGCTATGTTCTTGATGATGCAGGCATGAGAGATACCCTCTCCCTTCCTCAAGCCTCATGAAACATTAATAAGGAATGCTAGCCAAACACCAGTGCTCCAAACCATGCTACCCCTCTCTTAATTTCTTCATTTCTGTCAATGGCTTCAACACCAAGTTTCACAACCCCAAATCCTATAAGTTGTACTTCTCCACCTCCATGTCCCATGAATCCCCTTCATTTTGCTGATGTCTTTTTAACATTTTTGCACTTCTCTTTCTAGTATGATTTTATACTGCAAACCAGGCTAGTCTCCAACCTGGCTGCCCTCATCCTAACCACCCTGCATATCATCACCAGATTCTAAGTTCCTTAGAACTCTGATTTTCAACACTGATATGTGCTAGTTTCATGAGTCCATGACAAAAGAGAAAACACAGGCTAGCATAGTGTGTATGTAAGGTCCGAAAGGTTGTCAATAGTTTTCCCCTAAGAATAACTGCTCTCTGCTCTTTAATTGCCCTTCCTATTTTTTGTATTAAAAAAAATTAATGAAATGATTTTAATAAATGGCAGTTTAAAATGTCCTTATCTTGCCAAAATTAAAGATATCAATTCTCTTTTGAGCCCTAATTTTTGTAAAATTCTTATTGTTTGAAATCCAGTGTCTGAGACCAACTGCCTCAGTGGTGGTTTCACCAAATTGCTGGCTGCTGAAAAATGCCTTTGACAGGGCCAACCAACGTCTGCATAAGGAACTGCATAAGGTGGTGTCATTTCATTCAGTACCTTAGGAATGAGCTACCTGGCACAAAAGTGATCTGACAACAAGCATGAGAGAAAGAGCTCTTCTCCCAACCCAACGGAGTATCTTCATATCTTACAAGTCCTTGCTTTAGGGTCTGGGCTATAACATAGCAGTTACTCTTGCCATGTGGAGGGCCCAGGAAGGAGAAAAGAGGAAAATCAAACACAAGTCACCTCACAGAACTGCCAAGGATGGTCGTGGCTTCCACACTTATCACTGTATATGGATCCAATATATATGCCATCAACACAAGATGCACTGCCAGTGCCACAAATCAAAATCTCTGATCTAAAATCTCCCCTCCCCCTTCCCCTACTAAAAAATTCTCACAGAAAAATGTAGAAGAAACTGTTGGGAAGAGAATACATTGATTCAAACTTTCTAAAGGACAATCAGGTAATATGCATCAATATTTTGAATGTACATTTGTTTAAAGGATTTTTTCCAAAGAAATAAGATGTATACAAAGATGTATGCATGATGATGTTCAGGATGTTCAGGGCAGCATCAGTTGTAAAAAGCAAAGACTTGGAAACAGCCTATATATCCAACAGCAAGGTCTTGGTTAAATGAGTTCTAGCCAGCTAACAAAAATGCCAGTCAGACATTAATAATGTTAAGGGTGAACTATATTAACGTGGAAAATATCCACAACATACTGTTAGGTGAAAGCAAGTTTTCCAACTGCTTAGAGAATATGCCCTATTTTTAATTAAAAACAAACAAAGAAAAAGGGGGGACAGAATGGGATTTAAGTTCTGGCTTTGTCTTTTACTAGTTGTCTAGACTTAACCAAGTTTAACCTAGTCAAGCTTCAGTATCCTCATGTGTAAAGCAACCATATATGTCAGGTAGAGGTGTTGTGAGAATTAAATGAGTTAATAAATGTAAAGTATTCAGAGTAGTGCTTAGTCTATAGGAGGTTCTCAAATATGAGCTAGTTTTCTTTCCTTCAGCACATTTATTAAGCATCTACTATATACCAGGCCTGTGCTAGATGTTAAGTATACAATGGTGAGCTTAAATATGGTCCTGGCCCTTTAGGAAGGACAAGCTCTAAACAGTAAACATATTTCCATAAATCACAATTTGAGGTCCAAGGATACAGCATTTAATACAAGTCCTGAAAGATGATTAAAAGCTAATGATACAAGGAGGTAGGGGATGGAAAAGCAGCACACACAGAATGGACCACATTGGTCTTCTGTTTATCTTTTATATTTTCTCCAACAAAAAGGAGACTATGCCACATATACTATTTTGCAAAAGCTTTCCATATTAATACATCTTATTTCCATGTGACAGCTGTATTATACAGCTATATCACAATCTAACCTATTCCCTAGTGATGGCTATTTGTTTCCAATTTTTGGCTATTACAAACAAAACCATCAACATCCTTGTACAAACGTCTTTACCTGTGGAACCAATACTTACGTTTCTAAAAGTTGGGTCAAAGGAGCATATAATTTAATCAGAAAAACAAAACTGTTTTGTAAAAAATGTTACTGATGCCTCTGCCTTGACTTCTCTTTAGTACTTACTCCTTACATATTTCTTTGTATTGTTTTCCAATAGAAGATACAATTTCCTAGCTAATCTGAGAGCTTAAGGCAAAAGTCATTTCTTTTGTCTCTCCCCTACCTTGCCTAGCCCTCAAATACTTGTCAACATAAAGAAGTTCCAGGATGCTAGGTACGTCCACCCCCTACAGACTTGTTGGAACAGGTACCTACCTCAGGTCATTCTTGAGTTCCACGACCACATCCTTGCCCACAAGGGACTTGAAAAAGGAATAGAAGAGCTATTGGGGGAGAGGGGGTGAAAAATCATCATATGAGAAGGGACATGGAAAGAGGCGTGTCCCCCTGCCAGCATTACCAACTACTGGTATTGGGATCCCCGCCAATCTCTGGCAGTTCCCATAACTTCATAAAGAATACTTGGATGAATGGCTGGAGCCCAGATGATTATGCACACTTCCTAGAGTTCATGACAAAGCCCCAGAGAGAGGCTCTGCCCTGCACGCCTAGGGCTGTTCTCTCAACAGACCACCTCTCCTGGGGTCCTGCCCACGCCTCCCAGTGAACTGTAGGAAGTATTCCACCCGCACCCTCCCGAAGCCCAGTCTCCGTCAGGGAAATGCTCCTTAAAGTCTAGCTTTTCCTCCTCCTGCTCTCCCTGCCTACTCTCTCGGGTTTTATTTATTTTCCCCCTCATAAGGGAAAAATAAGTCCCATTTGCTGGCGGGTCTCTCCTCAAAGAACTGGAGGCGCAGGCTATGGATGGAGGGAAAAATCCTAGGGCCCAAAGCCAGCTCAGAGGAACAAAGCCCCAGAGGGTTCCCCACACAGCCCCGAACCGTCCCAACGGCCAGCGCTCCCGAGGCGCCCCCTTGTGACGTCACGGTACCCACCATCGGTGCCTTGCGCCGCGGGCTGCCTGCG